ACATGTTTTGCTTTGCTTACTTTAAAAATAAGCTTATTCGAGTTGAAACATGTTTGTGTTTGTGTTACTGCTAATCCTTTGGAAGGGCAAGCTGGTTTTGGTTTTTGGAGCTGGTGAAGAATTATTTGCACTATGTGAGATCTGGAGAAATAATAAATGTACATGTTTTGTTTTGTTTTTCTCTTTTATTTAAGATTTGGAGAGGAAACTCTAGTGTCCCTTTGGCTTTGTGTTGGTATTTGAGGTTATTTGGTTTACTGGACGTGATCTGGCTAGCACAAAGTCCTGTTGGTGTCTAGGAAAGTGCTTAATCTGGTACATGACTGGCTAACAGCTTTGTAAGGTTGATGCTGAGTTTTCTTTCTCTTGATCTTACTGTGAATTGTTCACTTTGTTTCTTGCTTTTCTTGTAAAATTTGCTTGTTTTTTTAAAAAATTAATCAAACAAATAAAGATAGTTAGTTTTAAAGCAAAAGTTACCTGTCCTGTTACTGGAAAGTATGGTTTGTTTGTTCCTTTGAATATCTTCTGACTTTAGGAGTTGTGTGTGTTTTTGGTATCTTCTATTGAAATTTCCTAAAAAGGAAATTTTTTAGGAATTTTGGTGTTAAGCAGAAAGAATTTTTTTAAAGATTAATATTTATATATATTTCTATATATAAGCTATTTTTTTTGAAGAAGCAGAAGACTATTACACTTTATTTTATTATTATAATTTTAAACTTGTAAGTACAAGATTTATAATACATTTACAGTATAACATATATTTCTCTTTACTAGGAAAAGTTAAATGCAAGGTTCCACAAATGTGATCCATTCTCTATGCTTCTTGGCACCACCCAAGAATATAGAAAAAATAATTTCAAAATCTATATTATTATCTGGAATGGCATCTAGCTACCTAAAAATAAATGAATACCTAATCACATGAAAGCACTGCAGTCAATTTATACAGGTTGGCCTCCAAGTTATAATTAGGATTGGCATGTCTGCTTTCCAAATATAGCTTGATGTATAGCAAGTAGAGTAGTATTGGAAGTGGTGGGAAGGGAATACCTTTTTATATAAAGGCATTGCAGCTACTTTATACAGGTTTGCCTCCAAGTCACAAAAAGAATTTGACACACCTATGCTTCAAATATGGCAGGAGTGTCCTATAGATAAAGTTTATATTGGGGGTTTTTTTTTTTGTAAGTAAACATCATTTCTTTATTTGATTTGTATATAGCATGATATACATTGTGAAAGAAACAACATCTCTCATGTGTTGATACATTGAGTTAAATGCTAGCTTGCCTACAGTAACCATATGACTAATATTGAAAAGAAAGTTTAAAACAATATATCTTGCTGGATGGCACCGAGCAGCTATGAATACCTATCCAGCATCAGGGGAAATAAAGTTAATATTAGCAGATAGAGTTGTTAAGCTATAAATACATTTAGAGTAGTTATATTTAGATTGGATGAATGAATTAGCAACAGTAGAAGGTAGGTCAATGATAATGTTTTCTTGCAGGTTATTGGAGTTGTCTTTGGTTTGCGAGGTTTTTTTAGTTTCTGGATTGGTGGAGTTGATTGAATTATGTGACTTAGTATAGTTCCATTTGATTCCAGTAAGAAATAAAGTGTTGGCTGTGGAGCAACGTGGTTTCCAAATTAGATCATGCAACAGGGTTAAAGATTCTATTGCTGGCTTTATCCAGTTGATAGAGGTTGAGGTGGAGAAGATTTTGTCTGTGATTTTACATGACAATTCAACGGCTTGCCATATGTGAGAGATTGGTTTGTGATTATTGTCTGGATGAAGAGTTTAATTAATGGTTTTTATGATTTGTTCTATTGCTTGTAATGCTTCCGGACATTTGAAAACATGTTGAATGTCTTCAATATGGAGTTCGCATTGTGGACATAGAGTGTCTGGGTATTGGTTAGGATATAGTTGGTGGAATATGAGATGAGTTGGAAGAGTTCCCAAGAGCAGTTTAACTTTAAAGGCTACTAGGGTGCTGTACTTGTTGTTATGGAATTTTTGGATGTTTTTGTTGGATTGATTGATGACTTTTAGACTGTGCGGAGTATGTGTTCATCCAAACGTTTGGACGATTAAGGAGCTTTCACATACCATATAGTCTCTGGTGATGCTGAAAATTTTCTTGCATTATCTGATGCTACTACCTAGGCAAGTATTGTTAATTAAAAGATTTTCAGAAAAGTGTAGTGAGAGATTGTTCTATTGAATGGTTCTGATTGATATTGGTCTGAATTTAGGTTTGGTATATATGATCTCTATGGATACCAGCATATATTATTAAAATTTATTAAAATTTATTAGTTTTAGCTATATTTTCTATATAATATTTTCTTTTTTTCTCCAAGAATTCTCAAAATGCCTATATAGTTTTTAATAGTGCAGCAAATTCGAAGAACTACAGCTCAAAAACTATGTTCCAAAGCTTCTTTGAGATTCTAAGAAACTATTTGTGGAAAGATTAGAGGAATAACTTTTGTTATTAAAATATTAATATTTTGAGTAATTTTGCTTTTTCTTTTACAGATAAGAATTTCTTTGATGATTATTTCAAGTGTAACAAATAATTCTCTAGCCAAATCTTTTGTGTAAATAGATGAACCACACATAAATAATTAGATTAGAGATGACTAACAATTGATTATAACATTATAAAAAGGCTGCAATTTCCTCCAGCTGTGAAAAAAGAATAATTATTATAATTATAAAATTTCGAATTTTTGTATTTTCTTTAATTTTCTTTTAATAAAATTATATTTATCCCATATTTTTCTTTTATATTTTTCTATTGTTTTTCTATTGAAATTCAATATTTTTATATTGTTATCTTTTGATTCTAATATCAAGGCAGAGTTGTGAAATTGACTGAAACAATAATTTTGAATTGTTCATGTTTATTTATTTAATAGTATTTAAAACAAAACATATATTGAATAAATTAAATCATTGAGAATTAAAAATTATTTTTATTAGTAATTTTGAAGTTTGTCAAGTGAGAAACTAAAAGTTTCAATATATTTAATTGTGAATTTTATCTTCTTTTTATTTTATTTGATATTTCTTTGAATATTTCCTTTTATTCTTCTTTATTCTGTTCCTATTTTCTTTTATTTCATAGAAACATCCTGTTTATTGTAAGTCTAAATTGGCACAATTCTCATTTTGCTCTTTCAAGGCAGTAACAATATCATATTGGTCCTGTCTATCTAAAGTGTTTCTTTGTTACTAGTTCTTTGTCTTTATCTTCTTTACTGAAACCTATCAAATTCTGATAATCTGGTCATATAATTGTCATGATTTTGTGACTAAATCATGAAAATTCAATCACGATTTAATGGTTTTTACTATGTTACGACAAAATCTCAACTATTTAGTGATAATTAAATCATTATTTTGATAATGACATTGTTGCCAACTCTTTTTAAAAAAATAGTGAACAAATCATGACTAATGTTATTGGTACATGGCGAGTTTGTCACTAATTTGGACTAGATCATCACATAACAGTAAGTATGTAGGAGCTTGTATCGCTTGCTAACTAGAAGCACTTGTTAATAACTTCCTTCTCTTTTATTACTGGTTTGATTCTCTACCACAATCCTTTATGGGCTTATAGGATTCCTATAGCGGCTAATAACTAACTAAAGTAAGTTTATTAATTATAATGGTGCAATTACAAGTATTACAAGTTTATACAATTTTGATAATTACTATTTATTTTAACTAGTGTTAGCAGTAGGATCAGGTATAGGGATGGGATCGGTGCAGGTCATTTGATATGATGCAATGCATCAGATCATGCATCACGAAGCTAAAATAGTTTGTGAAGGTTTTGCATGATGCGATGTTAGATTGGTGGACACGTCGCAGCTAATATAAATAGAAATAGGATTAGAGTAATAATAGATGAAGTCAATTGCAATATAATTGTATCACCAAACCTGTATTTGCACAATGATAATTAATAAACTTATCTTATTGAGATACTTGTCGCCTAAAGAATCCAGTGTAGTCAATATCAAGTCTATTGATAAAGGATTGTATCTGAGGGACAAGCGGAAAGAAGAAAAATTAGAAAATTGTCGTACCAAAAAGTACCTTTGATATTGCAAGCGACATGACCCCTACGTACTAACAAATGGCAAGCTTAATTCCGAAGTGGTGACAGACTTGCTGGTACAGTTAACACTAGCTAAACCCTCTCTATTTATATCCACTGTGATGCATATACTGATTTACCGTTGTGTTCTGCAAATCCCCAATTAGACTATTTAGGCTTCTTGATGCTGAGTCCGATGGATCACACCATGTTATGTAACAAATGTCGATTCCAGCATCCATACATTTTTTCCTGCTAACACTTCCTCTATGCTTATTTTATGTACTCCCGTGCATATAATCATTCCACACTATCAGTTCGAAATATTGGTTCAAGATTGTCTGGAATTTTAGATTATTTATCCTGATCACTAGCTGATGTTTGATTGTCGTTACTTGTGATGGTGAAGTATCAGATGATTGAATGATGCCAGTTAGATTAGTAGTGCAATCAATTTGTTGTTGTGTACTCGCTGGTTCTGATTCAATATTGCATTCTTCAGCTTCTTGTTCTTCATCATGTAGTATATTGAAGTTCCCACAACTAGAGTGATTTGTTTGTTTGCTTGCTTCTATGTCTTTATTGTGATTGTTGATTGGAAACTGGCATACCGTCCCATTTATAGATCCTATATTCAATTCCTTGTGGACTATGTCATCCTTCATTGCTCTTATAAATGTTAATCCATATGTCATATTAGTTTCGGTTTCATAGTTTCAATTGTTTTCACTAGAGTTTTGCAGTATATTATGTAATGTCTCAGGGCCTCAGAGCGCATTCACAAAATATTGCTCTGTGGGCCTATTCAACTCCATATTTCTTTTAATCAGTCCAGTCCTAGTAGTGTTAGTGACTACACACACACTACTATCAACCAGGATTATAGCATTTACTCTCAATCTTATCCCTACAAGGTATAGTCTCAATGTTATCAATTTTTCCATGATCTTGCATCAGTGTGGGATCATCAGCTGTTGGCATTTCACAGATGGGTTGTAGAGTCTAAGTGTTGTCAGTGCACATGGTTGTTTCATTTTGATTGTAATTGCTATTGTTTTGTTGTTTGGAGTATCACTATTGTTGTTGCAGGTACATTGCATCAATTTTTCGTGCTTAGGTTTCAGCACGGTATTTTCGATCAAATTTGTGTGGAGTTCTTTTACTAGATCCTCTGTCCAAACTATCTCACAAATTATTATTATTGTGCAATGTACTAATTTTGTGAAGATCTCGGAATGCACCTATATCTGCTTTCTTCTTAACTTGCAGCTGAGTATGTTTATTAGTTGCTGCCCTGGTGTCATAATGCTACGCAGTCTAAACATCTCGTTACCTGGTGCGTGCATCTCCCACATAATTATTGACATTATCTTTCTCTTCATGATTCTTTCTCTTATATCAGAACCATCCTTGTATAGCTTTTGCTCTGTCGATGCATTATTATTGATATTGATCACATGTTGCATTGTCTTATTCTGTTGTAAGTGTCTTGATCTTGTCTTGCTATATGTTCCTTCCCTAGGTCATTGTTGACTTTTATTTTTTTCGTGATTCGATCTTCATTACATACTTCTAACAGTTAGTTTACTAAAACGGCAACTTGTTTTTCTGTTAATGCTGCTTCTATTCATCCAAATCGGTTTTACAGTTTCTTTTTTCCCTCTTGCTATGTTGTGCGACTGCTCGGAACGTCATTATTACATTGCTTTATATTGCACTCAAGTTTCTAAACAGTATTCGTAATCATATTCTCATGCTCAATCAAAAGTACTTTTATAGAAGGCTTTGTTCAAGCCATCCTATAAATTGTCATTATCGCACGAAGTGCCAGCTTTACAAAGACGTCAGAGTAGGTTTTCATAAACTTTCTTCTAAATTCTTGCGTAAGTACTTCTATTAGTTGTTGTCACAACTCAGAAATGCTACGAAATCTGGGAGTTTTATTTCTTGACATCCTCATTTCCCATGTGATCATAAGCGTCATTTCTTTCTTAACTATTTCTTCCTCATCTTCGTTGTATGATGTCAGCAGTTCTCTCCTTTGCACAATGTCTAGTTCTTTCACAGTCATCTTCAGTTCACCTTGTTCTTCTGATCCATACTCTTCCTTTTCTTGCTTCTCGTGTGTCGTCAGCGGTTTTTCCATCACCACAACATCTTTCTTCTTCACAATTATTTCTTTTATTGGCCCATATCGACCTTCAGACTCATACACACCCTGCTTCTCAGTTTTATTGATCTCATCATCCCTTTCGGTCACCATCAACGTTTTTTTCAATTGGAATGACCACACGACTGGTTCCAAGATCTCTGGTTATGCTTCATTATCGGAATCAGAACTCTTACTCATTTTTTGTAATGCTTCTCTTTTATTATCATTAAAGGATATCAACTATACTTCGTCCTTATCCGTTTTTTCTTTCTTACACAAACTTTCATTCTACCAAGTATTCCTGTCAGGTTCTTTATTATTAATCTTGTCAGTTAGTATCTTTTTGGTCTTATCATTTAAGATCAAAGCCTTCACTGGGTACTCCTTAGCGGTACCCTTCCAGTAACTACTGATATTATAATCTTTCTTATACTTCCGATAATCTCGGTCTCGTCTTGTTGGTTTTGGTTCTAGCACAACCTATTTTTTTCACATATGATCTTGTAACTTTTGTACATGGTTCTCTAATTCTTTTAGCTTACTCGCTTTTCTTTCCATATCATTTTCGATTTCTACTGCTATCCTGAAGGCTTCTTCTAGATTGGTCAAAATCATTACAGTCAGTAAAAACAATATGTTCTTTCTTAACCTGGTCACAAGCAGCCATTTAGCCAGTTTCCTATAGTAGTTTCTGTTAGGTAAACTTTCTCAAGTAGTTTCTCGAACCTACAAATATACTTGAATACCTTTTTGTTTTTTTCTTGTTCTATGTTCTCTAATTCATTTTGCCATTGGTACCGTTGCTCTAGTGCCACAAAGTATCGCACGAACATTAGCACAAGACTTCTTTCGTAATTATCTTTATTGTTCTAGTAGATAAAACGATCTTGGCAGTCTTCATACTGTTCACCATGATTCCTTTCAGATATATCACTACTCTTCTTAGCTTTTCATCATTTGTTTATTCTCTTATTTTTGCAAATCTTTTTGTAGAGTTTTATCCATAAGCATGGGTCTTCTTTTTCTTCATCACTGAACCTAGGCATCCTAATATCATGGTTCTTTTTTTCTTTTCCCAGGTTGGCGAAGGTATTCTTTTCTGTTTTTTGGACATATTATTGTCACAGAACAATGGAATTTTTTCATCATCTACATCGTTTATAACTTCTATCATTGTTGCCGCTAATTAGTAATCAATGCAGATTATGACGATGTCATGGATTCTTGTATAGGTGTAAATTGGATTTACTTTAGTTCTCCACCAAATGTTATTGGTATACGGCAAGTCTGTCATTACTCCAGACCAGGTCGTTATGTAATGATAGGTATATAGGGGCTCGTGTCACTTGCTAACCAGAGGCACTTGTTAATAAACTTTCTTTTCTTTTATTACCGGTCTTATCCTCTACCACAATTCTTTATGGGCTTATAGGATTTCTACAGCGGCTAATAATCAATTAAGATAAGTTTATTAATTATAGTGCAATTACTAGTATTACAAGTTTATACAATATCAATGGTTACTTTTTATTTTAACTAGTTAAACCCTTCCTATTTATATCCACCGCAATGTATATGCTAATCTACTGTTACATTCTGCAAATTTTCAATTAGACTATTTAGAATTCTTGATGCTAAGTCTGATGGATCGTGTCATATTATGTAACAAATATAGATCCCAGCAACTCATATATTTTTCCCTGCTAACACTATATTGTAACAACTTTTAGTTACAAAATAGTGATAATGTCGTCACTATAATTATTAATAAAATATTGTTATAGCGATACAATTTCGAGTTAACCTTGATTAAATTATAATAGAATCATTACAAAATAATGACAATTCATTAATCAAGTAGTAAAAAAATAGTGACAATATAGTGACCATTTATTTATTATAAAGTCACGACCATACAAAAATCAAATATATAAGCAGATAGTTTTTTTCAAAAATTTTCAAAAGTAAATCCAAAAAGAAAATCATCTTTGTGATTTTTTACTTAATAATCCTTCTAACAATCTGGTCAACAATTCTTTGAAAAGCTACTATCCAACCAACCTGCTATTCAATAGCCATCCAATCAACCTGCCATTCAATAGCCATCCAATCAATATTTTGTTCAACAACCATCCAGTTAACATTTCATTCAACAGCTATCCAGTCAACTTTTCATTCAACAGCCATCTGATCTATAGTTGCTGTTAAAATTTTAATGGACAAAAATTAAGAATTTGGACAAATGCCTTATTGTGAAAAATATTTTATGTTATCCTTAATGTCATTAAAAATCAAATTGGCAAAAATTTAAGATTTTAACAAATACCTTATTGCAAAAAATAATTTTTATTATCATAAATATAGATAAAAATTTAATTAATAAAGTTTTATAATTTTGACATATGTCTTATTATATAAAATAGTTTTTAAATTAAATTTCAAATATATATTTAATATATAAATAAAATTATTTAATTTATTGAATAGTTTAAATTCTAATTATTTAAAACATATGCT